TATACGGCTGAACGTCACCTCTTGAGCCGATGGTTAGGAAGGTGAAGCGCAATGACTCTTTCGGCTTGAAAGTCAGGAACGTTGAGGAAGCTGAAGTGAACATGACAGCAGGTAAAGATTCGGACATGGCCTCGGATGGTGGCGCGGGGTCATTGTCGCTACTGAGCGAATTCCGTGGCTCGAACTCCTCCAAGACGAGTGCGTCCCTCTTTCCCTGGCTCAATAATGGAGCTTCGCCAGTATTTGGCCGCTTCCTGAAATCTTCCATCTGGCGTTCTAGAATAGACACAAAAGCACGTCGCCTATCTTCAAAACCAAATTCAAAGAAAAGTTCCTCGTGACCCTTGATCACAACGGTAAGACCGTGGTGTCCGAAGCGAGTAGCCTTTGTTTTCTCCACAGTCAAGATATCACGGATGGGTAGTATCATCTGATCATTAGACATCAACAGGTTTCTAATTACTGAAACACAGGAAACATACCCTTGTCTTGGTACTCAGGGGGCCGGTGGACTTGAAACAGAAATAATTTGAGGACACGTATAATCGACCGAAAATTGGTAGCAGTCGGATTAAATAACCTGAGAAGTCTTTATGTGCGCTATTAGGTCCCGTTACATCTAAGAAAATGAACGCATACATCCAAATAAGGTTTCTTTATCGTCAAAGGCAAACGCAGCTTTAAATTTCTCTGCCATCTCCGGATCGACGGCCGCTTCCAATGTCTCAAGGACACTGTAACCAAGCTCGCCGGGTGCTCCAGAACCTTGACCTGAAGACAATGATTGATGCGTTGAATAAACTTCGCTCACCCCTCCAGCACTCTGCGACACAGGATACGCGGAAGCCGTGGCACTGTTAGAAGTGCAGATATTCGAGCCCTTACGAGGGACTTTCCACCACGACGGTACGCCGACATTCCAAGGTACACTTGATGCCAGGCCCTTGCTCAGGGAGGATGCTGGGGCTAGATCTCCTATAGATGTAGATGGCGGATATGTATGATTCCGCGACGGGGCATTGGTTGAGAGTTCACTTGCAGATATAGGGATGATATTACCAGGATCTGGAGAAGAAGGTAGGAGCGAACTGGTAACTGGGACAAACGAGGCCCCGCCTCGCTTTGATATATGAGTGAAATCCTCGACACCTTCTGGAAATTCCGGATGACTGTACATTCGCGAGAGGGTAGACGGAAGAGAATCTTGGAAGGGCCGCAGGAAAGATGACAACCTGAACGAAGAGCCGCTCTTGGCGTCTGGGGAAGGAAGGCTGCGAGTTCGGTCCATCCCGTGTACTGCCGAAACTTGTGGTCGTGTGGCTGTCGTGTCCAATAGCGCTTGCGGTGAGTTGGGAGAGAATGTCCTATGGATGCGTACGGCGTCCCGGATGTGTTCCAAAGCATTTTGGATGTTGTGAAAGTAGGCGAAGAAATACGAGTCAACGGAATAATGTTCTTCCTTGTCAAACACTTTGACCTCGATCGTTTCGCTAAAGTCGATGGCGGATGACTTCTCCACATCGAGAATGACAGAGTATGGTATAGCAATCTGAGAAGAGTAAGTGCCAATTACCCGGTGGGCGAGGAGTGACGCACTTTAACCGCATCTCCCATATTCTGTGCTTTGAAGATGACTTTACGTATCGCCTTCACCCACTCTTCTCTGCTTGGAGTAGAGTCAACAGCCAAGTACAGATTTTTCTGATTGGTACGAAGTCGAATCTCCTTCTCTCCTACGGGGTCACAAGAAATAGCATAGCGGAGATCAACTATTCCGTTCAGAAAATAAGGATCCTAAGGAGTGTAAGTAGATTTGTCGTAGATGCGGGAAATTGAATTACCGATGAAGATTGATACCAAGAGAGGGTATCGTTCTTGAGGACGAACCAGTGCTTGATCCAACGCTTCATTCGAGTAGCTTTCTTGCTAAGAGTACCGGACTTCAAAACTTGATCCTGGGTGTGCGTGAGCATGACTTATTACAACGTGCAAACACAGTACCTCTCTGCTGGGCATGTGTGCAAAGAAACACAAGTGGGAGTTTGTGAGGTACATGTATCCCTGTAGTACTATGCGGAACTCAAAACGTCGAATGGGTACCTAGCGGCATATGACTTACAAACAGAGCGCAAGAACCAACATGGCATCTCTGATATTTGTATTTGATTAGGCTCGGCTCCGGAGCGAAAGGAGATCACTTACCCGCCAATACCTCGTTGATAGCCTCGAGTTCAAATATATCTTTCAGCTTCTCTGCCAAGCGAGCTCTTCGAGTAATTTTGACCGTAGTCATACTGACCGCACGACTTGGTGCCCTCCGTCTCAGCGCAGGGCCAAGCTGAAGGGTAGTAGGAGGCGGTACTGGTGTCGTCAGCGGATATTTCTGCGAATCAGCTGGCCTTGGAGTTGTTGCTTCAAAGTCGTCGGCACCCATGTCATCATCAGATATCAGATGCGCATCAGGTTCTGTGTCGACAGACTCCTGAACCTCTTGCTGCGGCGGAAGGATCTTACCAGACAAGATAGAGTGAGAGGTTTCTGTCCGTCTCGAACGGGCGACAGGGCGATATATGGCATGAATAGAGGACGCCAGGTGGGGCCCTTAAGACCAGGCTCAGTTAGACTGTTACCTGGGCGAATTTTGCGAAAGACCTGCTCACCGGTCGGCTCGTCATCACTATCAGAGTCTGTGTGTGGGTTGATTGGAGACGTTGCGTCGTCCTCGTTATTTGGGTCATCTACCCAAGGAAGGGCTTGAAGAGCTTGAATGAGGGTCTGAGTGCCTGCACACATCTGCAGTGATCCAACACCATGATAGTGTAACCGTTGAGTGAACTTCGGGATAGAAACTATACACCGCACGCACTGAACCGAAATCGCGAAATGCCTTCAAGGAGGGCCTGGAAGGTGGAAGGGTCGGCGATGGGGGCGTGATGAAGGGGGAATCGTCGTTGACAGCGACCGCAGTGGAATTGTTAGGATGGAGACTTTGATCTATGGCTCCTGATGCATGAGGCTGCGGAGGCGCGATAGACTGGTCAGAAGCTTGAGCAAGTTTAGTAGACACGCCCTTCCACAACATCGTGCAAAACAAAATACCTCCTCCCTGATCCTGTGAAGCCTCTGCCTCCCTGCCTTTGCCCTTCCGATTTAGGCTGAGTATGCGCCGGGAATCGTAATGAGATGATGAAGAGCTTGGAGACTGTGCCCGAGTCGTAAAGCTTCTCCCAAGATCCATCGTCCTTGCTGCAACCCTCTTGATGCGTTGTTGCGGTGAGATATTGCCTCCCTGGCCTGGTTCGTTGTCGTCCCGCGAGCAGAGGTCCTGGGTGCCGGTTTCAGAAGGGATAGTAAGCATACTACGAGCCAGAGACGCTTTCGAACTCGGTCTCGACATTGTAGGGCTAACGGTCCACTGGGCTGGATGAGTGTCAGAGAACTGGAACTGGAACTGTAGCAGAGCACGTCTGCCAATGAAAAAACACGTGACTGAAATGCAAAGCAATGTTTCGTGGGAGAGTTATTCCTTAGCTCGCGTGCAACCATGCACGTCGCGACCTCGAGGCCTTCCCCACTCGATCCTAACGTTCAGTGTCCCTCTCTTCTTTTTCTTCTTCTTCCTTTCATTCCCCAGTCATGAAAGGGGAGTACTGCATTGCAGGGGCCTCTTTTTTATCGTGAGTACCCCATGACTTATTCCAGCCGACGTCTGACCATCTCCCAGCTTCGTCGCACTCTTACTGCTGATCTTTGTCCACGTACGTCTAGCTGAACGAGGACATCCAATTGTAATCTTATCAAGCGTACTTAGGTCGGACAAATCAATACATCCACAGTTCCTCATGGAATCTCGATGGTAACATGTCACATGTACTCTCGTGGGTCCATCTTCTTTTCTGACCACATCCGCTCCTCCAGGCTACAGCCAATGTTTCGGGATATGGGTGAGTAGCCATTACACTTGCAACGGGCTCAATCACTGAACAGCGATTTAGCGAAGCACTATACCAAGCATTCAAAGATCCCATTCAAGGACTGTATACGGATAATACCTCATCCCCGCTTGGCTACCGAACTGGCCTTAGGCAACAGTACCAGTTCGGTCTTTACTCATACTGCGCTTACGTCAACAATTCCGCTGGACAATGCTCGAATCACACTATTCCAGCCAGATTCCAGCCATATATTGCCATAACATCCGATATGTTGCTCAATTATTCGCAGTATTCGGATTACATCTTCGCCGATACCACTTTCATGAATTCCTCATACCTAGGAACCAATGCTCACATCGCATACTTCTTTCTCCTTCTTGGCACAATACTCGCAGCGCTCTCATTGTTCACGTGAGTTCTCCACTCCTTTCCCATCGCGCCATAACTAACGATTTTGTTAGTGGAGTACTTCGGAAAACGGTTTTGTTCTTCCTTTCGGCAACGTTGTCCATTCTATCCGCACTGTTCATCCTCATAGGAGCGGCGATATGGACCTCCATAGTTATGAAAGCTGAAAGTGTCAATGCCATGCAGCTCGCTCAAGGTATCATGTCAGGTATCGAGGTATCATATGGGAATGGAATATACCTCATCTGGGCAGCGTTCGCCTGCTTAGCGGCATCGATTGTGCCTTACATGATCAGGTGTGTCCTTTTGTTTTGCCTAGAATGTGAAACATTGAACTTAGGTCACTCGGTTAGCTGCTGCACTTTCCGTGGATGAAAAGAATGCTGGCCATTCAAAGACGAACTGATGGACTTGACGATACTTATGACATTCTGGAGGACTACTTTGTGGCACGCGTTCTAGTACACGCCGGATGGACATTTAGACATGAATTATCATTTTGGCTTACGGGCCAGTACATGCAACGACGTTATTATTGTTGTCCCTTTTCTGCCTTAGCGAAGCATTGCTGGTACAGTTGCGTGGAATGGTCAGGAGACTGATAAAATCATACTGGAGAGGGTGGATAGTCGTAAAAGAATAAACGACAAAACAATTAGCCCACCGCGAGGGTCGAACTCGCAGCCTTCAGATTATATATATATATATATATCGCCTAGTGGTAAGAGTCTGACGCTCTATCCGATTGAGCTAGGCGGGCTATAGAAAGAATGTTGAACTCCTCCATCATATCCCTCCATTGTCATCTTTGAAGGTGGTGGTTTATGCTATGTTCTCGATTGGGAAGACCTGTCCAACGCGGGCGCAAAACTGTGGCATACTAAGCCGTCATGCTTCCTAGAATCCTATCCCACAATCGGCGGGAGTTCTACGGCGTCACAGCCAAAGGAAGCTAGAGCTCAAGTACGATTGATTAATTAATATGCGTCTAGGGTCCCCTTCATCGTGAGGCTCTCCTCAACGGACGAAGACAGCCGTCGGGTTCAGATCGACAAGGAGGTTGGCATCAGGCTGGTTGATTCGATAAATATCAAATGACAACAGCAAATTGTGAATGAAGGTATAGACTGTAAACACGTCGAAACTTGAGCAGTTCAGGGGCTCGAAATGACCCGAGGTCACCCTGACTCACTAGCGAGATTGCACCAATTTTGTAGACTGGGTCACGGGAAGACGCAGCAGTCGGTGCCTTCCGAAAACTTTGGAACGACACACACCTGTGGACGTAATGTGTTACAGTCGGTATCCTATGGGAACACGGACTAAATTATGAAAGAAAAAAAATCAGAACTTCATCTATACTTACCTCTTACTGTGCATTCGATGTGCGTGCTGCGGGACCGAGGGGCATAATTCCCGCCACGCTCGCTGCGCGAGTCTTGCCGGGTGGTTGCATCAAAAAGCGCAGCGTCCGAGTCAAAATTCCATCTGCTGATTCTTCTGGGAAAGTTTGCCGAACAGGTGAGTAGCCTGCACACCGATATCCCACAGAACTGGTAAAACAACGACAAGGTCAGAAGGCCCGTAGTGTATCAAAACGGTGCGAAGAGCCCACGTTGGGACTTGAAGCTCGATCCTCACCCTACCACAGGGAATGGTCGGGTGGTGGACAGCTGCATGTTGCAGGGTTGGTGGCTGAACAGGAAGACCGAAAGGGGCGATCACGGACAGCTGGGCGCTTTCCGTGTTGACGTGTGACCATCACTGACATTGTCAAGGGGTATGCTGGCTGTGTCATTGGTGCAAAAGGGCACCCTATATGAGAACACAAAGAAACTGGCCACGAAAAGTTCACAATTACAAGACATCAGACATCAGGGGGTGGCCCTTGGTGTTGAACGTTGAGGATTGTAATGTAAATCAGCGTACCGTTGGCTGTCGGTGGCAGCAGACTTGGCACACATGCTCGGTGGGGAAAGAAATGGCCGTATACGAAGGGTTCATTTAGACAGCAACGTGGTCGTGCGAGAGGATACTACATATATTTCCGCAGTGAGAATGACAATGCCATAGACCGTGAAGTGGTCAATTGTCGAGGATGATAACTTACGTTAAGAGGATGTGTTAGTGGCAGTGATTCCAAATGGGGAAATGATGCTGTGATATTGTGAGAAATCTAGCTGATGTAATGGTGGATATATGCATACCACGCTTGCGTGTTCCGCAGCACTCCCCGCTTTATCAGTACCCACCATATTGTTGTTTCACTCCTCTCTACTAATTTGACTTGCAAGGACCACGATCCAGGTCTAAAAAGCACAGTCGTCCAAACCTCCTTGCGCAGCAATCTTGCCAGCCATGTCCGACCATCTGAACGACAACTTTTATTCAGCCTTCGAGGCCTATGGCTCCGAATACGCAAAGCAACAGCAAGGCCTTGACTTTGTTTCATTTCACTCGCCATCTGACATCCTCGCTCCTCATCCCGATCTTTTCGAGCTTGAATTGGACTCTAGCCTCGCGGCTTTCAACGAAGTCCAGCTTCAGCTCCTTACCGTCGATTCCAACGACGCTTACTCCTTTTTGAGATCCGATACCCCAACGTGTGGTCCTCCCTCCACCATCACCGTCTCTTCCGAGAGTGCATACGAAACCCTCTCATCTCATTCCGAGTCCTTTTATAATTTCTCCGAGTCCTCTTATCCTGCAACTGACTGCTCATTCCCCATTGACCTTGAAATGGACTTCCAACGAGCTCGCATCGGTGGCAGCGGTTGCTCCGACTACGGCGCCAGTGCTTTGCAGACCAATAATACCCTTCCCATGACCGTCGACCCCAGTACCTTCGGAGCTCTACCCCTAAGTCCCCGCAGTTCTCCTGCGCCTACCGCCGAGCATACCTTTAAACGTACTAGCTTCTCTGATTACGGAGGTGCTACGCGCATCCCCGCTGTTCCCAAGTCTACTACGGCGGACTTTTATGGACTCGGATACATCGGTGCAGACAGCACTGTTGCCCCGTCCACTATGTCCCAGTTATCTGCGTCTACATCTCCTGTACCACAAGCGAGGTCAGTTCGTGGCGCCGAAGACCAGTTCAAGGACGACCCTCGCAAGAAGTACCAATGCCCCACTTGCCCGCGAGGTTGGTTCTGTATATTGTTCCTCGCTCCTGCACATCTCATATCTTTATTAACAGCATTCGCTCGAGCTTATAATCTGAAGACTCACATGGCTACCCATGACCCCAACCGCCTGAAGCCCCATGTTTGTCCTCATCGCGCTTGCGGGCGCTCCTTCAGCCGCAAACATGATTTGGGTCGTCACTTGGTCAGCATTCACCGTGACGAGTCCGTCTCTTCCGCCCTCTCTGCCGCAGTCAAGGCTATTGGTGTTGACAACGGCCCAAGAGGTTGGTGTGACAACTGTGGCAAAGGTTGGGTCGGCACTGCTAGTCAGTGCAACTGCACTATTGTCAAGTAACTGTTGCCCTTCACATCTCAAACAACCCTATGTGTGAGTTCCCTATCTTCCTCTAGACAACACAGCCTCATCAATCATGACTTGTAGACTGAGCGAATGACTTCGCTAATCGCTTCGTCGTAGTCGATGGTTGATTCGTCCTCTGCGCGCTCCTGATGACGTATCATATCACTCTACGCTATTTCTTTGTCGATGTGTTGCGCATCGTACCGTTCGTGCTGCATCACGAACCCAGCGACGAGCGTGACCTCGAGTTTCTTGCCTGTACCTTGACGAAGTCTCCCAGGCAACATCTTTATTCACACATTCTTATTCTGTTTCCGCTTCTCCATACCATTCTTCTGTCGGTCATGACACTCTTTCTCTTCCAGACTATCTTGTTACGTCCTCTGTGTATTCGTGTCTGGTTTATTCGGTATTTTCCAAGTAAATATCTATGGTCTTTGCTCGACGGGTGTGAACAAGCCAGACGGTCACGAATTCAAGATCGCATTTACCTCATAGTCCAACAGATCTCTGACCCACAAATTGCGTGCCTCTTAGTTGGCTCTCAGGATATTTATTGCAAGTCGCGACTCTGCCAAAAGGAATAGGGGCTAATCATCCCACATTGAGTAATCAAATTTTGAGTGAGCAAAGGCGTTCAATCTTTCGTCATCACTGACGCAACGATCTCCAGTTAACAAGTATATAAAGTGGAGAGGATGGATATCCACGCTACCACCAATCTTTATTCCTTTCTACCATGTCCTCTCAAGGAGAGTATATGAAAAAGGCATTCACCGCCATGACTTCTACTTCCAAAGTCGCCGATTTGCAGCGTGACACCCAGGAGCCACGGGCTGGCGAGCACCTTACTACAGATCACGGCGTAAAAATATCCGATACAGACAACTGGTGAGTAGCACATTATTTGATACAACTACATGTCGTTGACTCGCGTTTGCCAGGCTAAAGGTGATCGGGTTGAACGGTGAACAAAACGGACCCATGCTTCTCGAGGATCAGATTGGCCGCGAGAAGATTCACCGTTTCGACCACGAGCGCATCCCTGAGCGTGTTGTGCATGCCCGCGGTGCTGCAGCTCACGGTTATTTCAAAGTATACGACAATCGCGCGTCGAAGTACACCTACGCCCCCGTCCTGACGGATTCCTCGAGGAGAACTTCTGTTTTCGTCCGCTTCAGCACTGTCCAGGGCCCGAGAGGAAGCGCTGTCAGTATTTGCATTGCTTCATACCATTTCGCTCGTTTTCACTGGCTCGCATACCTGCGCTTTTCAGGACACAGTCCGCGACGTCAGAGGCTTTGCTGTCAAGTTCTACACTGAAGAGGGAAATTGGGACATCGTCGGAAATGACATCCCCGTCTTTTTCATCCAGGATGCCATCAAGTTCCCTGACTTTGTTCACGCCGTAAAGCCGGAGCCCCATAACGAGGTGCCGACCGGCCAAAGTGCTCACAACAATTTCTGGGACTTCGTAGGTCTCCAGTCCGAATGTATGTCATGCATACACTTTGTGCGTTGTGATGCTCATGTCGCTTTAGCGGCCCACATGGTTATGTGGGTGATGTCTGATCGAGGCATTCCGCGGTCCTACCGCATGATGCAAGGCTTTGGTGTTAACACGTACACACTTCTGAACGATAAAGGCGAAAGTCATTTCGTCAAGTTCCATTGGATTCCTGAACTTGGCGTACACAGTCTCGTTTGGGATGAGGCCCTGAAGATCTCTGGTCAGGATCCTGATTTCCATCGCAAGGACCTCAACGAGGCCATTGAGAATGGGGCCTATCCGAAATGGAAACTCGCCATTCAGACCATCCCTCGAGCCCACGAACACGACTTTGATTTTGACATTCTGGATGCAACAAAGGTGTGGCCTGAGGAACTAGTTCCACTCGAGGAGATCGGCGAACTGGTTTTAAACCGTGTTGTCGACGAATTTTTCCCGGAAGCCGAGCAGGTCGCTTATTGCACCAGTCACGTCGTTCCAGGAATCGGATTCAGCGATGATCCCTTGTTGCAAGGTCGCAACTTCTCGTACTTTGATACTCAAATCACCCGCCTTGGGATTAATTTTCAGGAGGTATGCTGCGTTTATGCATTTACCGCATTAATTGATGTTGATATTCGCCACAGCTACCTATTAACCGCCCTGTATGCCCCATTTTGAATCACAATCGAGATGGAAAAGCGAGGCATCGAATTGTGAAGAGTGTTGTAAACTACTGGCCCAATCGCAAGGATACTGGGCAACCTGTTCCCGAAGACGAA